GATCCAATTTAAATTTTATTTTAGAGTTTCTGTAGTTACCTAAGATTGTCTGAATTACCTCCCTTAATATTATGCCTTAAGAAATACACTTACATAGTACGATTTCTTCAACATACCTGTTTTGCATTTCTTGTGTGGGGTATTATATTAATATATTATTATATATTGTACAATTACATAACGTTAAGCTTTTAACGTTATTTTATCTGGGATATCTCCCTTGTTATTGTGATTTTTTGTCACCTTCTAAGATATGACGTCATTCTCAGTCAGCAGACGGCTGTCCCTCGAGACAGTCTACATTTCCTACTTGCTTCTCTGTATTCAGTTTTGTTTTTGTTTTTTGTGACTATGGAACATGTACCCTATATGTATTAAATACTGAAGCGTTTCTTTATTGAATTTAAGAGTTTAGACTACTTTTTTATACTTTTCACCTATGGTTACTTGTATAGTTGAATTTTACTACATATGCTTACATTCGTATTTCGTGTAGCATATATCAGATCATGACTCATGCTGGCATTACACAATGGGTTCTTTGGGTTGTATTCCTAATTGTTTTCAAATTTGAGTGAAGTCTTGTGTCACTACAGACCCGGGACTGTACAGCGAAGTGGACGCTTACGGCTAACCCCCGGATTCTTTAACTTTTTTTGAATTGTCTGTATGTTTGTGTTTTCCTGAGTATGATGTCTTGTCCGTGTATTTGTCTTTGTGTAAATTTTGTGTGGTGCAGTCCCCCTGCACTTACTATTACAGTCTACGGTTTTCTATTCGGTTGGGTTACCGCAAACGTTTGACTTAACAAACAATGCTAGGGCATACGTTTATTTGTAAACAGTTGAAATCAGTGACAATAATAATTGGTGATAGTCAATCTTTAATGATATATTCATAAATAAATAATATACAAATGGTCCATTCTATTGATGATGTGAATGAACCATCAGGTTGTGTTTCACTGATCACCTTCATTATCGTTAGAAAATCAATCAATTCCATTTCATCTAAGAACAACTTGGTAAAGTTCGTGTATCAAAAATCTTCTGTTTATTTATTTTCTTTTTGAAGTATTTGTTTTTGATCAAAGACTTTTGATCAATAATGAAACCATTAAAACATCCATTGTTATTAAGAATAAAAAATTAAAAACACACTATTCTATTATTTAATTTTTGCTGTTAAATTCATACCCATTATCTTTCTGGTTTTAATTGGATGGAGCTGAAGACTAGTCTTGACAATACCTGTAAAAACAGTATCCGTATTTATTGAACCTAAACACGCAGATCTAAGCATATGTATTATAGTGAAACGCTCTTATGCACTTTTAGTCGTGCAATAATTATGGATTTTGATTTAGAATATATCAATATTATTAGTATTCCAACATTTGTTGGGGATTGTAGGGTTATAGATAAATGCTGAGTCATGCGTCGCTTAAGGACCATGTAAACTGATCGCGACCAAGAACGCGGCAACCGCTTAACAGTTATTAAGTCAAATTTTTGTTCGTGCGGAAAACCGCATGGGTTACCTCCAGAGCGAATTTTTGGGAACGGTTCGCGCAAACGATTTTCATTAGTCAAAGATGTGCGAGGTCAAAAGTCATACAGGTATCGTATCTGTGGCAGGTAACTCGAGACGGCTTCGCCATGCCAGGTGACAAGGCATAATATCCCCGTCAGACCGGGGTGGCGTCCTTACAGTTACTGTGACGCTACGGCGACGGAAAATGGTCACAGAGCGCGTCATGATCGCCATACGCGTGGTAAAAGCGTGGTATAAACGCCAGATATCGTGCTGTGGTCTCCATGGTCGCCAACGATCGCCGAGTCACGGCGTTTGTTTTAAGCATGTTCAAAACAAACGCCAAGGTCTGCGATCTGAACTGGAAAGCTGTAAAAACGCGTCTTTTTTAAAGTTTGTAATTTTTTGGGACATTTTCTCGTGTTGTGTTAACGTTTGCCGGTGACCTTGTGCATTTTCTGGTCACTGTACGGTCGCTTCAGCGCAGTAAGGACGGCACTCCGGTCTGACGGGGGCTTAAGAGCGTATTTCCGTGCATATCGTCGCTTTCAGTATGAACGATGATTCGCGCGGAAAATAATAGAGGTCGCAGTCGCGCTCAGTAAATGGCCCTTTAGCTTTTCCACTATCCATTCCGTATTGTAATTTTTAAAAATGAAAATGGCCTTGTTGTTTTATAAGATTTTGATGCGTCCATTGCCAATCGGCAGACTATTCGTTAAATCTGTCGTGGCACAGATATAACGTGTACTGTTTGTTTAATACGATACGAATCTTATAGTCAATTGGGATCTTAAACTGTCTCTTTCTTTTAAGAATACTCAAAGCATACAGCTCTCTGATAATTGTCTATAATGCTAGGTTCACACTTTCGATCTTTTATCGGTGAATTGTTATGACATTGACTTAAAACCGATAGTCGAAAAGTCAAGTTGCGAGACACTAATCAGAAAGACTTCAACAAGCAGAGAGGGGTTTTACATAGGCTAAGCCTGTTCAGCAATCCCATTCAGACATCCCGAATAAAATATTGTTTATAAAAAAAACCAAAAAAAAAACCAAGCAGATCAAATAGGGAAATGAAATGAAATGGGGTTTAACGTCCTACACTGAACTGGGCTAATGAAGACAGCAAATAGGAAATGAGATCAGATTTGCACAGTTTTAATATACAGTCAACAATTATAACAGGTATACGGTCACACTTCAACATTAAAGTTAAATCATAAAATTCGACCAATTTTCCAATGTTTTATCAAACCCCCAGTTTCACAAATCAATTTGCTCTACAATCCCACGTTTACAAAGTGGCAGTTGCAGTAGTGACATTAGTTAGTAGTAGTAGTAGTAGTAGTTGCAGTATGATTGGCACTCTAATCTGTATGATGGTTTATGCTCTGCCTGTTGACCCAGTTCCACTTAGTCAACCTTTCAGTACCAAAACTATCCCAGATAATAACCCTTAAAAAAATTTCTTCGTATTTCCGAAATTCATTACTTATAATATGCCTTACAAACCGGTCAATTTAATGTTATTGATGCCTAAACCAAACTAATGCTATACAAATACAATTAAGCAATGACCCCTCTGTCACGATTGTCTGAAAAAGAAAGCGAATTACTATCGACCTTGTTAGTTATTGTCAGAAATCGTTAAGCTATCGCGTATGATTTTCCTCCATTTGGATTCCTCATAATATACATGTTTATCGACGTTTACTTTTCCATAGAAAGCTAAATACTTCCAAACATCTATAATTTAAATGTTATAACGATATGAATGGGATAATACGGATGATAATAGGGTTGACAAATATAGATTTGTTCTATTAAATTTTGTGTTATAAAGTATCGATGTCTCACAGATATCTCTATATAGCTCGAAAATATAATATATATTTCATAAACAAGTCAACGGTATATTGAAGTCATTGAAGAGCAAGATATTGAAGTAAGCAAGTGCTTATGACTCTGGTCGCATCAATATCACAAATAGGCCAGTTTCTTTAATACCAAAGAGTTTTAACATTGATTTACAGGTGTATTTTAACATATATGTCAGGTCGTATTAAAGCACATAAACTATTGCAGTGAATATATTACTAACGCGTTATCTGATAACATAAGCGTTTATCCTTTCACCTTTTTGCAAGTATATGTACACTACATATTGGCTGATTCGTTAAAATCGAATTGAACCTGTAAGGCTACCGTTTCTATTTCAGTGAATGCATTATTCGCTTCTTGCCTGACAACAATAGCGCCCAAGTATTCAGGCTTGCTAGTCTACGTTAACAGAAACTTAGATTTTTAAAGAATCGTGTAAGATAGAAAGTTGCTCGGTAGTTTGAATATATTTTAATCAATGCTGATGTGGTTAATGCTTCGCTTAAAGTAGCTAAGTCTCTAACTCAATATCGTCCAAAATCTTCGACATTGAAAACACGAATTATTTGTCAATTTAAATCAACATTGATGTTGTGATCTTACCGGGAAAAGATGGACTTCTGATATCCAATATTGAAGACAAAATAAACATTTTACGATTGGTACACGAATCCTGTACCATGATGCGCTTCAGCGCTATTTGTAATAATGGACTCGAAAAACGAGGCAAGGCAAATTCCAGAAGTAATGTAAAAAGTTAACGTCTTATTCTTATCTGGAGAGCATGCGCAATAAATATTATCGGTGTAGACTGGAATAACCAGACGCTAGAGATTGCCATTCAATTGAGACTTCTGGCGTATTTCGCCGAACATAACTGATTAGAAATTACAGTAAAAACAGAAACGATTGAATGTAAATCAGTTTAAATACATTAATATTACATTATTACATGCGTTGCGACCCATGTGTATGTCAATTTCTAGGTCCCAAGTATTAGCGATTTAGCCCCTTTAATTTAGCCAAATGATCACAATGAATTAACAGTCAACTTGGTATTTTTTCCTGTATCTCATCGTTCACATGATATAATGTTAATAGACAATGCAACTGCTGATCTTTACATAAGGACGGAGCTGCAAAGGGTAAAATGAGTTTTTGTAATCAATTTATACTGAAATAATGGTACGTTTTCAAGACTTAACAATTCTATCAGTTTTCACTTGTTTTGTGGCATGAAAGATATAAAAGAATTCTTATGTCTGTTGATTTTTGAAAAGTAATTTGATCAGGTATTGCTTCCTGGCAACACCCTCGCATAACAAAACATGCATGAAATTGGTTCTTGTTGCTCAGTAAAGTCAAATGTTTGTAAACGATCAGTCATCTAGAATGTTGGTCAAGTCTTTATTACGCAACAACTTGATAGAATGATTCAGCCGATCCAATCTATAAAAGCGTTTTATATAAAATTGCGACCGATTTTCTTTTACTGGCGTTGCGAGATGTTCAAACTAAATGATCTATCACTTGTCTACGATTAAAGTGTTGATTTTTAAACTGAACGAGCCGACAAGGCGCCAAACATTTCGTTAGCTACAACTCTTAACTGTGGACGATATCCTAGTTGGAATGGACGTGGTTTCCTATCGATCCAACGTGTTCCTAGTTAAATTCCTATTGGCCGGCAAATGGTACATTGTACATACTTTGGTAGCATTGATGAAACCCAATCATACACTAGTCACGGCATTAGTATAGCTCTATAAAATAAGTCTACGCTATGGAAGAAACTTACTTTATTAACGGGAGATTCGCGGAAAACAGACAAAGCTCCCCTATTTCAAGGTGTATTATTTTTACAAGCCGCCAGTGTTGACATTTTAAAAGTAGCTGAGTAATAGACTAGCTGGATTAGATTTCTGAATCACTCTCTCTGATACTTTATCATCCACGGAAACTCCGATGTTTAGTGTTGATGTTCTATAATCTATGTGAGGTAAGTTTTCTTGTATTATTTTGTAAGCTTAGTGTAATCAATAACTACAGGAGAACAGGTGACAAAAACTGATATTACTGCGCCTAAATAAATACTATATTGAAAAGTGTTAGTTTGGAGAAGTTAAAACAACACAGCGAATTAGCACTTATAATCCAGGGAAAATTTAACCATAGCTTTTTAAGAGACCCGTCTGCATTTTTATTTCGGGATTAAAGGGGAAATGGAGGTGTAAAGAATAAGCGTTATCCCAGAAGAACGTGACCTCTCCTTTAAGTTTCAAAATAAATGAAATGGGGTTTGCCATACTATTCTCCTACGTCAACTGATGGGGAGGGGGCACGGGCATGTGCTTTCAGATAGAAATAATGTTTGGTGCTGTGCACATGACAGGGCATGCTTACGCTTTCTAAATGACATTATACCACTTCTTGCTTGTAGTGTTTGATGAGTTCACATAACTGGCAAATTGATTATACGTCTAGCGATGTTTCATCGCATGATTGATAGTATATTCAGTTGTAGATATTCCTATCTCAAGCTAGTTCTAGAATCTTATTCTGCACATACTCAATAAATAATCATGCCGTCAAAGGTAAAAAAAAAGGGTATTTCGTTGAATCCGTTTCATAACGACGAGGCTATACTCTTCTGAATTAATGTTATCAAGATGCAACCAAATATTAACAAGTATAGATAATTAAAATATGATTGAATGAATTCTTCTATAACCTACGCATTTTATTTCACTTTATTGTGTTCCGAAAAGAAAACCCTAAAAAAGATTTATTTTGCCTTTGTTATCAGTATTTAAAAATAGATCAGATTTGTTTTGATTTATTTTGATCGGAATATGCAAAGATTTATTTTGATTTATTATGGCATCTTTATACTGGATGTTTAGAGGTTGTCCAAAACCGACTGGGTTGTTTCTGTCTACAGAGAGTATTGGGAACCACTTATAACAATTTCAAATACGGGGATAGATTTTTGACTTTCAAATAGCAAAAAATGCCAAAATCAAAAAAATGCCAGCCCCTCTCCTTTTATGTAATGATGCATTCGTTTTCAATAACCCAGAACGTGGGCTATACTTTGCCCAACGTTTAGCCGACAAATTTAGAGATAAATAAACAGTATATCAAAAGCAACATAATTAGATGGTGTGGTAAGGGAAGGGGTCGAGGAATACCTAAACACAGTGAATATTCGCCTTTGATATTTCGGGCGTTGCACAGAGTATGAAACGTAACATTGTTTTTCAATGCTAGTCAATGGTATGAGTTTTGGCGAATACATTTAGTACTATTTAATAGTGCACCTGCAACAGAATGTCAACATACGGACAGGCTTTACCGTTACCAGTGTTTATTACTTTATTATTACGTATTACTTTATTATAAACAAATACTTAAATTATCAAATGGAAGCCTATCTGTGAAATTTTCACTGAAACTCCCCTGCTCCCTAAGTTACTGACTCTGTGCACGGTTTGCACAACCCTATGGCCGGCACTGACGTTATTATCAAATTATTGTTGAAAACAATGTAGAAAATTAAAACACCCATTAGCAAACTTACAGCTCCATTTTCTGATTTTACGATGTTTAATGCAATTCAGTGGATCTATAACAGGGTTATAAAATGAGGATAAGAAGAATACACAATTCTCTTCAGTCTAATTTGATACTAAATGAACACGACATGTATTTGTGTGTCTATTCATTTGGCGTAATATTCTCGTACATAACCTCGGTAAATGTGTCATTATATTTCCGATACGATTATAAAAATCGTAAATCAATGCATTATGTTCTCGTTATTCATGATTCATAAATTGCAGTGGGATAGTTAGTGTTTTTAGTTATTTGTAAATGGGATTCGGAACCATGGTGACTCAGTGAGTATCGCGCTGGCTCACTAAACAGCAGGTCCCGGCTTCCATTCCGGGACCTGAGTATGACAGAGGGCCTGGAAATAAAATTTATTTAGTTGTTTGGGTGATAAACCTAGTAAAAGAACCTATGTACAGGAACACTTGCCCCCAAAGCGCATTGCGTTTCATTATCCCGGTTTGTGCAGAAAAGTAAGACTTTCTTGAACTGAAAAAACTAATCGTGTTAATTTTTGCATCAAACGATTTCTATGTCATATAATCCATTAGAATGATCTTGACATTTACATTAATATTGTATTTACTTTAATTATTGGATGTTATATAATTTTCATTACACAACAGATGTCATGATCCCCAACTTCTGTAGCAAAGCTAAGATCAAAGTCATATTAAAATAACGAGGACATAACATGAAGAATTTGCGCAATTTCAGTTCATGTTTCTGTGTTGGTGTGTGTACACATGTTTTTATATTTTATTCTGTTTGATTAAAAGTTCATCTTTGATTGGACCCAATTCCCTTCGATTTTAATTTAACCAATACATTCCAGCAATCGTAAATATCAGATCTGCTGTTCAATACCCGGTTTTATGGCAATTTATTATTCATTCTTTGAAACAATTAAAAGGTTACATGGGGTCGTGCCTAGACTCATACTGATCAAAATGTTATTAGAACCCTAACCTAACGTCAGTTACATTACTTTCTATAAATTCACACAGCAATTATTTAATCACAGAATCTTCAGTCAAGACTCGAAGGATATCTGAATTTATCCATTAACATTTACCTCAAGATGGTATCTAACCTGTGTTGTTTTGTTTAATCACCAAAACTACTATCCAAAGACTACTTTTAAGCTTTGTTATATTTGTGTAAGGAAAATAAATATACAGTGTGGTTCTATAAATTAAATACGTAACTTTGTATTACTTCACTGCTATGTTTTGTCTGAAGAAAGTTTGATTGTTTAGAAATTGGAATTTTACATACCGGGTTTTTCAGATGGGAGCATTAGGGTTATCAGAAGTATATTATGTTATCATTATGCTGTATCATAATACATATTATGTTGTGATTCCCAGAAACGGGGGTCGCGGTGGCTCAGTGGGTGAGACGCTGGCTCGCTAACCTGGGGGCCCCGTGTTCGATCCCGGTGTTGGACAACGTATAGTCGTCGTTCGAATAGGACGAACATCCGATGTCATATAAAAATCCCTTTGCAGTTGGAATTTAATATAATAATAATAATAATAATAATAATGAGTCTTATAATGCGCTAAAATCCACATCACGATAGGGAAATGCTCTAAGCGCTGACCACACACCAAACACACTACAACACAAAATGCACATCATAATGTCATATTTAAATATAACGTTTAAAAAGATGGGTCTTTAGGTTTGATTTAAATGAAGTTAATGTTTCAGCAGACTTTAGTTCTAGGGGCAATGAATTCCAAAGCGTTGCAGAGATATATGAAAAAGATCTGGCACCAAATGTTTTCAATTTGAATTTGGGCGTCTCAAGCAGACATTGATCAGTGGAGCGAAGGGACCTGGATGGAACATATGGATGAACAATATCCTGTAGGTAGGGTGGAGGAGAGGAGAGGCGAGGGGAAGGGGGGAGGCGTAGCACCGCTGTCCTTTGCAAAATTCTCCCACAACCACTGTATGGTGTATTGTATTGATGTGAGGAAGCCGCGGTAGCCAACAGGTAGGACACTATAATATCTCGGTGTCGAATCCCGAGAACAACCTTACATGTTAGTCTCAAATCGTTGAAACCGTACCGCATTACATTACTATGAGAATACTTAAAAAACAACACATGTCTTAGTTTTATATGAATTATCCATGACTAATATTGATGACAAACACAATGGTTTATCCAACAAGTAATTTCATTAAAACTTGTTGTTACAGGGGCATATATTTCATGGCTGTGCATGTAAATGCTGGCTTCATTAGGTGATGTATTTCCAATCGCACATTGAGAATTACTAATCTGTAACTTACACGATGCCTAAAATACACCAGCTTTGGCATAATTTTACACCGGATGATGTCACTAGAATAATACTTGTAATATTTTGAATCGTATAATATCATACCTTCTCTGGTAGTAAGCAATTGGCATTTGGTGCTCATATTAAGGCCACTAAATACATTATATCAGTCAGTCCCTGTTGAAACTGCTTTTGTTATATTTTCAAATATGGCACGTGATCTGGATGTATTTGTGTTCAAAATCGTAGTAACCATGGGGGTCATAATTTTTGTTTCTCTCTCTCGTTGGTACGTCAATGCAAACCTTTTCAAAATGAGAAACCTATTTGTTTTGTAGAGATACACATATATACTCTATGAACAGTACTTTAATTCAAAAGTGTTCAAAATAAGAGAACATTGCAATAAATATACTCGTCAATCGCGATGCCATTTGCATAACCATAAATTGGAAAAAATATATTTGTTCCCAAAGATATTAAGGATTTTATAGATTCATTCGGACAAAATAGTTTTACAATCAACAACTTTTGACCGTCATTATGTATTACACTTGTTTGATGATGAATTGTGGGGCAATGGCTTCTAAGACTTCGTAGTTACTTGTTTAATATATTGTGTACGATAAGGTAATCAATAAAAATTCGAAGGATCGAAAAAAGATGATCCAATTCTGCTCGAGGTAAAATGTATTTAAGCATAATGTATTAGGCTATGTTTAAAACAAGGACGTTTCTAAATATAAATGACTACACCGTTAATCTGGAAATCTAAAGATCATTATTTTAAAAGGTTATTGGAATTCCTTGTCTGTAATTAAAATCTAATTCCATTATATTCTATTCGATTTTGTTTTTTATTCAGTAAAGTAACGCTGGTCTGAAATTCGCACAGAGAATAGGCTAATTATGGTGTTACAAGAATTCAAATGCTTAAAGAACTGCGCGAATACATCAAATTATAATGGGCACTATTATGATTAATGTTAATATCAAGTTCTCTTTTATAATTTACATTTCGTCGTGTCTTCTCCAGTGGGGGATTTTTATAGAATGATTTATTCACGGTTCATTAAAATAGATACATGTC